AGTGTTCCTGCCGGGTGTTCTTGTTGGGTGTTCCTGCCGGGTGTTCTTGTTGGGTGTTCCTGCCGGGTGTTCTTGTTGGGTGTTCCTGCCGGGTGTTCTTGTTGGGTGTTCCTGACGGGTGTTCTTGTTGAGTGTTCCTGACGGGTGTTCTTGTTGGGTGTTCCTGACGGATGGTCTTGCTGGGCATTCTTGTCAGGCGTTCAGGTCTGGCATTCTAGACGTGTGTTCCTGTTGTGTGTTGCTGTCAGATGTTTCTGTCATGTTCTTGTTGGGCGAACTGGTCGGACACCTACATTTGGAGTTACCAGGGTTAAGATGAGCATTCCTCAGTAACTTTACAGTCATTGTATTAAAACCCTGATGGTTTGTTTGTAAAATATCTTGTGAAACACTTCAGCCTTGATAATGTTTTAAACTTTTTGTTGAATAAATCCTGTTTTGGAAAAGCAAAAACAAGAACAGAGCAGATATTAGTTTTGATCTTTTGTTTAGTGTCGGCCTTTCTTTCTTCTCGCTCTTCGTCTCCTCTGACGTCTCAGACTAGGATCCTCTTCACTCCACCGCTCCGTCACACATTCCCTGTCTTCTTTGCTGACTTTGCCCTTCCTCGTCTTCCTTGCTCATTTTTTCCATGTTTTTTTTTCTTCTTGCTCTCCTCCAACCATGCAACGGAGCACATCCGATGGCAGCGGCAGTTAGCTTTAGCCCCGCGGTTAACTTAGTCTGAACCAGATGTTTGGTTTTATTCTCTCTCTAGAAGTAAAACCAGAAAGCAAAAGCCTGTGGATTAAAACAACAGTATTCTTCTCCAAATAATAATAATAAAACAGACATAAAAGCAGGTTTGGGGAACATTTTTCCTCGGTTTAAAAAAACTTGGGACAGAAAAAACCTCTGCAAATTACAGAATACGAGGAAAGCCCTGAAATTAAAACATCTTTTAAAGAACAAAACTAAATCAGAGCGTAAACTGCATTTTGGTTTACATCTCTGTAATCTTATAACTCAATGAACGAGTGAATAACAGGCTTCTGCAGAACTCAGGAGATCTGCTGGAGAGCAAGGAAACACCTAAAACATGCAGGATGGTGGTCCTCAGGGACCAGGATTCGGCACCTCTAATTTAACACAAGACTGTAAACAAACAAGAGAAATTTCTGGAGATTCTGCCGTTTTTGTGTGTGACCAGGTGCATTTTCCTCCACAGAATAATGTCAGTAAAAACACCGTGGCACACAGTAAGTTGAAACTGTCCAACGTGACAAGGGAAGACGCCGGGAAGTACTGGTGTCGCGCCACAAACTTTATTGGCATGTCGGAAAAAGCTTTCTGGCTGAACGTGGACAAACCAGGTAAACGCTAGACTCGCTGGGAGAACCGCCTCCTCTGCTCGCCTCCTGGTGCAAACTTCTGCTTGGTTGTGGGTCTGCTCGACACATGAAACACATTTAATCACATTCATTACTTTTATCCTGACCAGTAACAAACACACCAGCAGCTGTAGATGTCAGAGAGTTACAGGTTGTCTTTCCACCTTCAGCGTCTGGATCCCAGTATCTCCATCTTCTACAGCTCATCTCTGGTCAGGTCGTGTCCCACTTGGAAGAGAGCCCAGAATCAGATGACCCACCTCAGCTGGCTCTACATGTTTCTTATCTCGGCCAACATACTTGTATCCAGATCAGGTTCTTTCTATTTGGGCTATAAGAAAATAGTGATTCACTGAAATATCGTGATATTTAATTTCCTGATACTGTAACGATTTTTAGTTAAAGGGGCGGTTTTATGTATTTTAAACCATCATCCAGTAACTGTGACCTTCACTTGTTATAAAAAGATGTTTAAATCAAAAATAAATCTAAACGCCTTGAAATTGGCCTCCTACCGTTTCCGACACTGCCACTGCAGCACATCTTCACAACAACGCTTTGGGGGCGGGATCACGACTGCAGATTGAGCTCCAGGGAGGAGCTATGTACAAACAGGCGGGGCTTTGATCCAGCAAGTGTTTAGTTAGCTCCACATGTGTGCCACAGGAGAGTCAAGGATTTCACAAACATGAATGAATGAGTGAAAGCAGCACTTTGGGTGGGTTTTTGATGAGGTAATATTAGAACATGATATAAAGATTAAAAAGTTAATTTTGCAGAATATATATCATGTTGTGACTCCTGTGTCGTTATGTATCATATCACCACACCTCCAGGGACGAGGGCTGTACGTTAGCTTTTAGCTAGAATCTGTTCCCTGTGGGTGATAATGCTTTGTTGTACCGTCCCTGCAAAAGTTAGTAAGTTAGTAAGTACGTATGTAAGTAAGTACGTATGTAAGTAAGAATGTAAGAATGTAAGTAAGTAAGTAAGTACGTAAGTAAGTAAGTACGTACGTAAGTAAGTAAGTATGTAAGTACGTATGTAAGTAAGAATGTAAGAATGTAAGTAAGTATGTAAGTAAGTAAGTACGTACGTAAGTAAGTAAGTATGTAAGTAAGTATGTAAGTAAGTAAGTATGTAAGTAAGTAAGTACGTAAGTAAGTAAGTAAGTACATAAGTAAGTACATAAGTAAGTAAGTACGTATGCTAGTAAGTACGTATGCTAGTAAGTAAGTAAGTACGTAAGTAAGTAAGTACGTAAGTAAGTAAGTAAGTACATAAGTAAGTAAGTACGTATGCTAGTAAGTACGTATGCTAGTAAGTAAGTAAGTACGTAAGTAAGTAAGTACGTAAGTATGTAAGTAAGTACATAAGTAAGTAAGTACATAAGTAAGTAAGTACATAAGTAAGTAAGTACGTATGTTAGTAAGTACGTATGCTAGTAAGTAAGTAAGTACGTAAGTAAATAAGTATGTAAGTAAGTACATAAGTAAGTAAGTACGTATGTTGGTAAGTACGTATGCTGGTAAGTAAGTATGCTAGTAAGTAAGTATGTAAGTAAGTACATAAGTAAGTAAGTACATAAGTAAGTAAGTACATAAGTAAGTAAGTACATAAGTAAGTAAGTACGTGTGTTAGTAAGTACGTATGCTAGTAAGTACGTATGCTAGTAAGTACGTATGCTAGTAAGTACGTATGCTAGTAAGTACGTATGCTAGTAAGTACGTATGTAAGTAAGTACATAAGTAAGTAAGTACGTAAGTAAGTAAGTACGTAAGTAAGTACGTATGTTAGTAAGTACGTATGTTAGTAAGTACGTATGTTAGTAAGTAAGTACGTATGTAAGTAAGTACGTATGTTGGTAAGTAAGTAAGTACATAAGTAAGTATGTAAGTCAGTCAGTCAGTCATACTTTGTCCTGATCCAAACCTTGTGACTTTAGGGTTTGAACGTACACGAACCAGTAAATTCAAAACTTTGCCTTTAAGCTGATGACTCAAACAAAAAGAACAATAAAAACCTTTCCAGTATGTGGTCCAACATTTCTATGTACAGTTCAAAAGTCTGCCTCTCTGATGGTATTGGGGTGCATTACGTTCATAAAGCTGTGGTGTTGGGTCAGCTTTGGCCTTCTCTCCGGTTCAGTTTTTCACTTCCTGGTGGCGGCACAGCTGACTCCTGTCTTTTTACTCCCGGGGCGTATTTGGTGTTTCCTCTAAAATGAATCCTCCTCTCTCCTTCTCTTCTCTCCTTCCTCCTGCGCTCTGTCCTCCTGTCCTCCTCCACAGACGGCCGGTATTAACACAACCGATAAGGAACTAGAGGTTCTCCTCTTGACCAATGTGTCCTTTGAGGATGCGGGCGAGTACACTTGCCTGGCAGGGAACTCTATCGGCTTCTCTTACCACTCTGCTTGGCTGACGGTGCTTCCAGGTATTTTTGATTTTCAGACTTGCCTTGTTTTCTTTTTTTTTCAGGTTTTTTCTCCTCCTAATACGTGAAGCTTTAATTTGTTTTGCTCAGCAGCACAAACGGTTTACTGATGAACTTGTTCCAGCGCTCCGAGGCTACTTTGAAACATTTTTTACTTGATGTTGGAGACAGTAATTATCTCCCTGAGGCGGAGCATGTGTCAGGTGCAGTTACCTGCTGAAACATGAAAACTACGAGGCGACTCTGGAGCGGTTTAACCCACGAACGCTGTGATTTATGTCCTGAGATGTGCTGCTGATCAAAACAAAGATTAAAAACTGTTAATTTCAGTTTAGTTTGTTTCATCCTCTTCCTCTTCTGGAGCAGAGAACCCAGACAAAGACGACTACTACGCAGACATCCTGATCTACGTGACGGGCTGCGTGCTCTTCATCCTCGCCGTGGTCATCGTCATCCTCTGCCGCATGAGGATGAGCGCGCAGAAGACTCTGCCCGCGCCGCCGGTGCAGAAACTGTCCAAGTTCCCCCTCAAGAGACAGGTAACAGAAAGTAGATACAAGATTTGCACAAGGCTTTTCTTTCTTTTCCTCTCTTCCTGTTTGGTAGTTTCAAAATAAAACTATAATTAAATATAACCTAAAGCTCTATCAGGCAAAGAAGTWGTCACATGAACAGCATCCAGAACCGCTGCTGTCTTCCCTGACCCAAAGTGGAGGACTGTTCTGAGGTCGGGTGTATCCAAATCTGCCTCTCTGATGGTATGGGGGTGCATTAGTGCCTCTGGCAGCTGGCACATCTGGAAAGACTCCAATACTGAAAAGTGTCTGCAGGTTTTAGATCATCTGCTCCCATCCAGGAGTGCAGAACTGCTAGAGTCCTTCAGACCAGATTGAGAGATCAGGTCCTCTAAAACCTCCAAACCAGGTCTCCTCAGGTCCTCTAAAACCTCCAAACCAGGTCTCCTCAGGTCCTCTAAAACCTCCAAACCAGGTCCTCTAAAACCTCTAGACCAGGTCCTCTAAAACCTCTAGACCAGGTCCTCTAAAACCTCCAGAACTGGTCCTCTAAAACCTCCAGACCTGGTCTCCTCAGGTCCTCTAAAACCACCAGAACTGGTCCTCTAAAACCTCCAGACCTGGTCTCATCTGGTCCTCTAAAACCTCCAGACCTGGTCCTCTAAAACCTCCAGAACTGGTCCTCTAAAACCCTCAGAACTGGTCCTTTAAAACCTCCAGACCAGGTCTCCTCAGGTCCTCTAAAACCCTCAGAACTGGTCTTCTTTATTGAAAATGAAATGTTTTTTTAAGATTAAAAACTTCTTTCTGTTTTCATCATCAAACATAATTTACAAAACGACTGAAACTGGTTTTCACCGTCCGGAGAATAAAAACCAGAAACCTTCAGTTAGTCAGACCACGATGTTCTTCTGGTTTCTGCTCTCTGCTTGTGAAAACTGGTGATTATCCATCTGGAGGTTCTTAATTAAAAGGTTCTGCTCCTCAAAAAGAACACTTTTAGAAAACTTCTTTAATTCAGGACTTTTTATTTTATCAAACAGAAATTCAATCCTGGAGAAGTTGGCTTTAATTGAAGCCTGTATTTTTTGCACAGGGTGCATTTTTCTGTAATCTCAGCTCCTGTTCTGTGATTCTAATCTGGCTCCGTCTTTTTTCATAACTCGGAGTAAAGCTCCGGTAAACCTCCCGGTATCTTCTGTCAGATATTACTGTCATGCCTTGAAAATATGTGGTTGGTTTTTTGTTTTTCCTCCTGCTCTCCTCAGCAGTTTGGATGTTTCAACAAACTCAGCAACAGAAGAAGAAAGAGACGACTGACGGACCGAGGCGACCATCTTAACCCACCTCCTCTTTTGTTTGTCGTTACTTCCTGCCACGAGTCRGCTGCTTGCTAAAGGGGACATATCTGCAAAATCTACGTTTTTTAACCCTTAAATATGTTTTGTTGTCGACTTAGAGTCTGTAGGAGGCAGAAAAGTTAAATTAATTTTCTCCTGGTTCTATGTAGATACCTTTTCATTCAGTGTGTTAATTCGCTAATAACAGAGCTAGCTTCGCGTTTAGAAAATWAGCTTTTATGCTAACTTTGGAATCCGTTAGTGGACCGATTAGTTTTGGCTCAATTTAAAGTGTTAAAGTGTTCTATTTTTATGCCATTTACCTCRTATTAAATAAAAACCATCCCCTCTTCAGGCAGGCAAGGAGGGTGAAGTGTCTTGCTCAAGGACACAACAACTGACATGGCTGGAACGGGGAATCAAACCGGCAAGCCACCGGTTACAGGATGACTGCCACTCAGCTACAGCCGCCTTGAGCTGTAACTTTAGTTTGGATTGGCCAAATTGTCACATATGATCCAATGTGTTAGCATTAGCTTCCATTAGTTTGATCCATTTAGCGTTAGCAGCGTTAATATTCTCGTTTAGTGGATTAGTGGTTAGTGAAMCTAACTTTTGGGTTAGGGAACTAATAAAATATTKATACACTTCATTTCCTGATACTGTATTCACTCTCTAAAGCACAGTTTTGATTTTTAATTAAGGCTTAAAATATAAACTTTGATGCTAGCGGCTGTATTTTAGCCTCCAACCACTAGTTGGCAGCAGTCAGCCTGCYGTTTGGCTCCTCCACTCCTAAAAAGAAAGACATGCTAGCTGATATATATTTTTTAATTTAGAGTCTTTTGGAGAAAAATGACMATATATCACCTTGCTTACAGTTTAATTTATTTAGGATCGCAGTATCGCAATTTATCGCAATTTATCTCAATTTATCGCAATCATGACCCCTGTGTTGTGATATGTATCATATCACTAAATGCTAGGGCTGTAATTCATCAGCTTTATCACACAATTTAATTATTTGTTTGGATAATTCAATGTTTCTCAATATTAGAAAATCTGTTGCGTTACGATTTTTATTCAGTTCACAAGTCTGCGATTATTGATCCACATCGAGCATATGAAGATAAGATCGACGTTTTTGTTTTGCCTTGATGTAATTTAATCGTTATTCATTAAATCGATGTATCATTACAAACGACCAAATTTTTGCCAATACAAAGTCCGACTTCATATTCAATTTGGGTCACATTTCAGTTCAGTTTTCTCCATTCCACATTAACGAGCTCAGGGCTGATGGACACGTCTTCATTTGTTGACATCTTTTAATTCATTTGTTAATAAAATAAATTTTTTCRCCGCTAGATAGTCGTACSTCTGCTATCAAACTTTWAAAAATGGCTGAASGGGGTGGAGGTGGGYGGGGTCTGAAGTGCCTCATTTRCATTTAAAGAGACAGCACCAAAACGAGTTGCTACCCTCAGAACAGAGGTGAAAGAGGGGCTTGTGGAGCTACAATAAGGAGGAATTCAAACCAAAGCACTGCAGTTCCACTTTATAAAAAGCCAACTGAAGGATTTAAAAACATCATGTGTCTATTTTAAAGAGATCATGTTGTTGTGTTAGCAAAATATAGATTTTAAACTTTATCCGGTCACATCCTGCTTTCTTTCTTCTGTCTGAGTCGTGTTGGAGTCGTTTCCGAGACTATAACAATTTTCTCTGTTTTGTTTTTTGCACCCAAGCAGGTGTCCTTGGATTCCAACTCGTCCATGAACTCCAACACRCCGCTGGTCCGGATAGCMCGGCTGTCGTCCAGCGACGGGCCCATCCTGGCCAACGTCTCCGAGCTGGAGCTGCCCTCCGACCCCAAGTGGGAGTTCCCCCGCTCGCGGTAAGAAGGCGGAGTTTCACTTCGACGGCGCTGTTGAAGCTAAAAGCTTCAGTTTAGTGATGTTGGTTAAGACCTCTGTGCTTCGGTTTCAGGCTGACTCTGGGGAAACCGCTGGGCGAGGGCTGCTTCGGTCAGGTGGTCATGGCCGAGGCTGTCGGCGTGGATAAGGAGAAGCCCAACARGCCGCTGACTGTGGCTGTGAAGATGCTGAAAGGTTAGCTTATTGTGGCTACAGAGCGTTATGGGAACTGATATTATGCTAACAGTGATAGCAGTGGGTTCTATTGTAAACGCTGAGTCACCGTTTTTCATTATTGTGACTCAGCATCGGCTCGTTTCCCTCTTTATWCTTCCAAACGTTTTATATCAAAATGTTCGGCTCGTTAAGGTGATTGCTCTTATTTGTTTTTTAGAACTTTATCTGCCTTTTTTAGATATTCAACTTTATTTACAAAAAAATTCATTAGAAATATAATAATAATCAAATCTCTTCAATTTCTTCAAAAATATTGTTCTTGCAGAAATCTGCTTCAGCTACTCTGTTTTGATTCATTTTGCTACTTTTGGCTGCATTTTACAGCTTTTAGCTTTTAGCTACCACATAATCATATCTACAAGCTGTTTAAAGCTTTAACCTGTAATTAGCTACATTTAGTCAGGGTTTTTGCTACTAAAAGCTAACCTTTTGCTACTTTTAACTTGCATATTGCTACTTTTAGCTTTTTTTTACTTTCGGTATTTTTAGCTAGCTTTTTACTACTTTTAGTTTCTAGCTGCCAGATGATATCTACTATGAGCTGTTTTTGCTACTTACAACTTAAAGCTAGCATTTTGCTACATTTGCTCTTTTTTTATCTTTTAGCTACTATTTTGCTACATTTATTAGCTTTTTGCTACTTTTAGCTTCTAGCTACCAGATAATCATATSTATAATACTCAGTTTAACCAGTTTTAGCTTTAAGTTAGGCTTTAGCTACTTTATGCTAAAGTTTAGCGAGTTTTATCTTGTATTTTGGTATTTTTAGCTAATTTTGTACTACTTTTAGTTTCTAGCTGCCTGATTATATCTACCATAAGCTATGTTTTGACTACTTACAGCTTTAAGCTAGCCTTTTGCCAATTTTAGCTGAAGTGTTGGTCTTTTTTTAGCTTTTAGATACTATTTTGCTACATTTTACTAGCTGTTTACTACTTTTAGCTTTTATCCACCAGATAATCATGTCAGTTTAACCAGTTTTAGCTTTAAGTCAGCCTTTAGCTAATTTAAGCTAAAGTTTAATTTTAGCTAGTTTTGTATTACTTTTAGTTTCTAGCTGTGAAATGATCATATCTATCATCCATCAGCTTCATTTTTGCTACCCATAGCTTAAAGGTAGCCTTTTGCTACTGTTAGCTAGTGTTCTCCTTTTAGTTTTAATAAGTCAGTTTCAGGTTTTTTAGCAAATAAATTTTAGCTGTCATTCAGCTGTTTCTGCATTTTAAATGGTTTTTTCTGTACTGATCTTCCTGTTCTTCTTTTGAACTTTGTTTTTTATTTTCATCATGAGGCGCTTCATCTCGTGTCCCACTTCCTGTTTCAGACGACGCGACAGACAAAGACCTGTCGGACCTGGTGTCAGAAATGGAAATGATGAAGATGATCGGCAAACACAAAAACATCATCAACCTGCTCGGCGCGTGCACGCAGGACGGTGAGCTCAGACCTGAAACGAAGAGACGATTAAAAAGAGAAGCGAGTCTTTAATGGTGTCTGCGCGGCTCTCAGGTCCTCTGTACGTCCTGGTGGAATACGCTTCCAAAGGCAACCTGAGGGAATACCTGCGGGCTCGGCGTCCGCCCGGCATGGACTACTCCTTCGACACCTGCAAGATCCCCGACGAGCAGCTGACGTTCAAAGACCTGGTGTCCTGCGCCTACCAGGTGGCCCGAGGCATGGAGTACCTGGCCTCGCAGAAGGTCAGAAACACCAAATGTTTGGCTTTTAAAAAGCTCAACAAATCATCTGCTGCACGTAGGTCCGGCTGTAGAAATGGGACGTACGGAGCCCCCAGAGGGCCAGGTGTAAAAATAACACCAGAGTTTTGTTTGCTCAGTTTAATAAACTGTTTGTACTTTTTCCAGGCCACAAATGTGTTCCTGCCACAAACTGAGAACCCTGTTTTAGAGTGCATGCCCAAAACTTTACGGTGGTKTTTTTGTTTTGTCACGCAGAAGTTGTTTATCATGTTTCCGTAGATTTTATTTTTTAATTTTCTTTACAAATTTAGTCTTGAAACAGTGCCAGAGCCTCACATGCTCGATGCAGTTTATGGAAACATGAACACTCATTCATTCACCCAGAGACACTCCAAATAAACTTTTGTACTTCTTTTCTCGCAATTTTCAATTTTTCAATTTCAGCTTAGTAAGATAAAGGTTTATATAAAAAAATTATATAGAAGAAGAAAAYGTCAACAGCCTCATGACATTAACCCATCTTTATATGAAGATATTTGTTTTAAATAAAAGTTAAACATTAATTTAATTAAAAACTAAATAAATTTTAATGTTTGATGACATTGGTTTGAAAAGATTGTGGCCACAAGATAATTATTGCAGTCATTTCCACACACAGAGTGTTTATTGTTAACATGGACCACGCATTAACTAAAGTGTGACCACGAGTTATTTTCTCGTGGTCACAGAATATATTTTTTAATTAAATGTCATTTAACGGGCTCCATAGTTACAGATGTTTGTGTTTGTCCCCTCAGTGTATTCACAGAGACCTGGCAGCCAGAAACGTCCTCGTCACAGAAGACAACGTGATGAAAATCGCCGACTTCGGTCTCGCCCGTGACGTACACAACATAGACTACTACAAAAAGACAACAAACGTGAGCGTTACAACAAACAAAACACAAAGGGTCAAAAGGCTGATTCTGTTAAACAGCTTTACTTCCTGGTTTCAGGGTCGTCTGCCGGTGAAGTGGATGGCTCCGGAGGCGTTGTTCGACCGGGTCTACACGCACCAGAGCGACGTGTGAGTTTCCACAAACTGAGGAACGACAACGTTGAAACAATTCCCTCGCCTCCGTAAACCCGACCGTGTTGTCGGACGTGTTTTAACCAAAACCCACAACAGAATTTCAGAAATTCTTTCAGGTTGTTGTAAAACAACGACAACAGTCCAGTTTGAATGTGTTGTTTTTAAAGCCGTAATTGTGCGAACGCTTCACAACATTCACACAAAGATCAGTTTTTCTTCCGTACGGGTTTTAGACYGTATTACGTTCCGCAATTTTACTTCTATTTTAACAATTYTTATATCAAAACRTTCAGCTCCTTCAGGACATTCCAGCTATGACTTTTGGTTTTTCAGCTGTTTTTTTTACTTTTTTAGCTGTTTCACTTCTTCAGCCACTTTATTCCCATTGAAGATGAAGGGAGCTGTTTTCAACATCCTTAAACTCGTTTTAAATGTTTTTAAATCTTTACATCTTACTCGTTTTGTTCAGGTTCTGCTCTTATTTGTGCTAATTTTAGCTCTTTTTTTTTTCAATTTTAGCTATTTTCTGCTCTTTCAGCTTTAATTCTGCTTCTTTCTGCTAATTTGACCTATTTCTGCTTTTTATTTGCCTTCTGCTATATTCAGCTATTTGCTGCAATTTTAGCTAATATTCAGCTGTTATTAGCTAAAGTTAGCTTTTTAAGCTACATACAATACTATTACATCTTATTTCTGCTACGTTCAAC